CCATTTATTCGAATAAACCTGATCAAATCACATGGGCTATAGTGCCAATTTTTAAGCAATTACAGCTGATCACCTGTGTTTAGTGCAGGCAGCATACAAACAACAAAATGTCAGTTCAAAAGATGGAATAAGCGGACTGGAATTGACTCAAAAGCCCGAAAAACGGCTTTTACTACTCAATTTCCTAGTGAAACACAACATAGCTGCACCAGATTGGCCAATATCCTAGATGAAACCGCAGAATAGGAAAGAAAAAAGCCCTGGTGCTGCGGTGAAAGTACTTACTCCAGTGTACAAATCCACATCATCCGGATTGAAGTGGGTTGCCTGCATGGGGATGGAGGATGAGTGAAGAAAGAGAAGTCAGCTTGGCAGTGATTTGTTTCATAAGTAACGGCCAATCAACTGCGTCAATCCTATGGCGTATGCTCACAGTACAGCCCGTACGAAAAAAAGGTCGGTGGATGGCTTTTACTGGAATACTGTCCAGTGGTTTAGCAATGAGCGACGGAGAGCTCGAGGTAGGGTGCGAATCACAAGCTTTCCGGTAAACCGGGGCGAACTTCAGTTCCTGACGTCCATTAAAAAACGCACTGCTAAATGTGTAATGCGCTCTAGACATTGCAGAAACGCTACGTTGAAAGCCCGGTGTCAGCGTCTTGTTTGCAGACGATTCTCAGGATATCCTCAAACTACGATCGCCCCCTTGCCTATGCCTCAAGAGTCTTGTTGTAACGGTATTTTCCTCAGCTTAGTTCTCGGTCTGAGCCTCCCAAGCTAGCGTTCACGTCAAAACAAACACCAAAGGTGCAAAAGGTCTATTAACGCCCAAAACGAAATCAGGAACAGTTGTACAGCGCTTCGTATATATAGCGTAAGCGGCTATAACTTTCTGGAATTCTGACGCGTTCTGGAGCTCCATTGGCAACCGGCATTCGGCCAATACTGGGTCATGATTGGCTGTTGGGTCCAGATTGTTGACCAATCAGATCTCGTCTTGATGCCGGACCGGCAAGCGTCCCGAATTTTGGGCCAACCTCGAGCGGGCTAGGCTTCTCGGCCGTAGCAGCGCCTAAAGACATGCGGTATAGTGGGATCCGCGTGGATTCCTGCCTAACAATTCACCACATCTGTCACACTGCAATCAGAATTAATACAACTTCCAAGGTACGTAAAACGCTCCACAACTTCCAGTACCTCTCCCTGGATCGTAAGTGGCGTGTTCAGTGACTGCACGTCCACAAGCATGACCTTACACTTTGTGGGTGCAAAATGCATACCAAAGGACGGGATGACTTTGGTCAGTTCATCCAAGAATACTTGCGCCTTCTCCTCTTCGAGACCGGTTCCAGTGAAAAATCGATCATACCTGGGATATGTAGCTGCAACGTGACTCTATCTGGGATGTTACCTCCTTGCTACGCAGTAGTCCTCCCCATAGACTCACATGAATAGTGGAATAGCTACCATGTAAGACAGCATTTCACTCGACAGGCTAAATCAACGTGAGTAATTTATAGCAGTTCTGTTATTGGATAAATAACGTTGGCTCTTCCCTGATCTATTCTTCGAAGAACGGATCAGGTGTAGTACGATTTCCGTTTTTGCTCAACTTTTAACCTGGTTGACTCAAGGTATTGTTTTTTGTTCAAGTTGACCCAATCTCTACTCATTTTTGTCCCAAAACTTTCTAAAGTTGAGTCAACCATGCACTGTCGAATGGTTTGACCAACGTTTCAAGTTGAACATACCACAAAGGTCGACTTGATGTTTTATAACTTCTGCCGGTTTACTTTAGAGAGTGCCTCTTTCGATGACTGTTCTCATACATGCCAATGTATAAGAACATGGGGCAAGATGGACCAAGTGGTGAGAGTGCGAATTTACTGACCGGGAGGTCCGCGGTTCGAACCCGACCTCTGCCTCTCGACTTTCCCTGTCTAGGCTTGGGCAACCTGGCAGTATCCCAGCCCTCGTTCATGGCAGCTAGGCACCGGTAGGATGTTACAGCTGACAGAGATACATGCACATAAAGACTGGTTTTCTGTCCAGTAAAACTTTCCTCAAAATGCACGGAAACCCCTTCGTAAAGATAACTCAGTTGTACAGGGAACATCCTTTCTTTTGCCAAACAGAAGTGGTCAGTAATCTTGGTTTATCCCACTAACAAGTGTCGCGTGTCCCTCAATCGTTTTTTCTCTCCGGAACACCAGAAAAGTGTATGCTCCATTTGTGAGATTTATTTCTTTTCGCCCATATCTGTCAGCCGCTTATGAGATCGGTCATTGTTCCGCTTCCGCGACCGTTTCTGAAGCGAATGGTTCGTTGTTGGTAGCGTGAGGAGATTTGGGATTTTTTGTGGAGAATCCGTCCTGTAAGTGAAGCCAATCTATGCTGAAAAGCCGAGAAGCACTGCTTCTCGGCTTTTCAGCATAGATTGGCTTCACTTACAGGACGAATTCTCCACAAGGAATGGTCACTTGCTTACCTAGTACAAAGTAGCCTATCTTCGGGTATAAGAGCAAGGTAGTCCAATCCTCGAGGTGCATGCAGGACCACTACGGTATGCGCCCATCGTACAAATTGTTTTTGCACACGCAACAGGATACCGGTTAGTTTCACTGCAACTACTTCAGCTTTCATCGATGGCCTTAGAAAGTTTACTTCCTGTGAAAGGCTTTCCGCGTTAAGCATGAAGGAACAATACTGTACTGTCGTAAACAAAAATCAAGTAAAATACATTAATAAAAAAAAGCTGAATAATCGTTCATCCGTAGTACCCTTTTGGTGCCTAGTTGCCATGCCACCCGAAGGAAACACGAGGGCTGGGATACTGCCAGGTTGCCCAAGCCTAGACAGAAGTCGAGATGCAAAGGTCGGGTTCGAACCACGAACCTTCTGCTCAGTAAATTCGCACCGTAACCACTGAGCCATCTCGCTTCCCCCGTAAAATACATTCTGGTTAGTTCATTGGGAAAGCATTTCCCCTGTAAGGGTGACATCCATACAAGGACCACTATTCCGTTCCTTAAGAACTCTTCATCCGGGTGATGAGGGTTAGCTGTGATTCTGCTTCACTTACTAATTTTTTTGGAAACGTTGGACTACATTCGAGTTTTTAATAACAGTCCTGAAAACACCTGGGCATAGTGATACCGGTTTCCAAGTTCGGCAAATCCGTATTGGGGACTTACTTTGCTCAAGGGCTGATTCGATTGGTAATAGTATGCATTTAGTGGATTCTCTTCGTTGATGGATTGATTTCCGTAACAATTTTTTCAAAGCTTTCTTACCTTCCCATCACTTGATCTTTTAATTCAGTGTCTGAAGCTCAAATCTCAAGTGGTGGCGAGAGTGACTCGCTGTACCGTGGAGCGAACGTCACAGCTCGTGGCGTGTGTGGTCCTTTCCCGAACGGGAGTCGGCATCATGCACCTGCGCACAGAACAACCTATAATCGCCCTGTTCCGACTGCAAACCACCGTCCTGGTGGCACAAACAGACAGTCGGGCACGCGTGCCGATTGGGATCAGATTCGAGTGGAAGAATTCATGGATGAGGATTTCGATTTTGAAAAAAACTTGGCCATGTTTGACAAGAATGCGTTCTACGAAATGGTCGACATGCAAAGGGGCGTCGCTCCACGTCCAGCTACCGTCCAGCCTATTCAGTCCACTGAGCACTTTGCTGAAGGACCGGATGGTGTTGGAGTTCCTCTGCTCCGTACGTTACATCTGGTTTTTATCCATTTGTCACTCATCGCTTATCTGAATCTTCGGTTTTATAGGAGTGTTTTTATGAGGCCTATTTCATCATATCATATGTCTGTTCACTCGGATTAAGCTGCACCCTCGCCGATCGACTTGTGACGATCAGCTAGCCTAGTCTTTCGAGGGTCGCGCCTTATGTAGTGCGTTCGTTAGAAAGTGTGCACAACTCGCCGCTGTCCCAGTCACGTCTAATTTCGCCACGGTGCAGTGAGTCAGCCGATTTCAATCTGGTCTTCATCTCGGACACCCGTGATAGAGCACTGCTAGTCCCAGATCCACTGCTGTCGCATGCGGCTGCTCCAGTCACGCCTGACCACAGGTGTTGGAGACGTGTGAGGTCAATCAACGCATGGAGAGAAACGGTATAGAAGCCCCAGAATGTTGTCCTGGGGTCGATGCAGAGTAGCGTCGAAGAACGGTTCCAGTCTGCCGTGAAAACGTGCAATCCACCAACAATATATCTTTCATGCTCACGAGTACAGTTAAAATCGTCCACTGGGAATGCGAATACAAATAGGCCGTGAGCCATAGGAAAGACAGTGATTAGTTTGGGTCTGTGTAGGCTTGTGTGAATGAGCAATGAATGTCGTGGATTGTCTCTGTGAGAGATTACACTGAGGTTATTGCCTCAATATGATGTTCTTGTAGATCGGTGGTGCTCGGACTGAAAAAAATTTGTGATGTGATGATGAGAAAAACAAAAGGAGCTCGAAAGTTCAGTCCAGCTCACCTCTCCTACCGTGTGCTGTTTGACAGATCACGTGGATCTGGCTTGTCAAAGCACTTAGATGCAGAAGCCTTACGTTTGTCATATCGCGACGGGATTGAATCTTGTCTGGACAATTTCCGAAGCTTCCGTTTTGTCCTGAGACCCTATCAGTAACCTCATCATTATATTCAGCTGTGAATGTGGTTACAGCTGCCACGATTTCGTTCGCTGAATAGCTACGCACTGGAGGCGGTAGTTGGTGTGATTGATTCATGAATGCAGGGGTGTCAGTGGACGTTCCATTGAAAACACCGGGAGGGGAAACTGTGTATTGGAGACAACTGTTTGAGTGTGTGTGCGTCATTGAGCACGCGGCTGAGCCATATCCCGTCTCGAAGTCCCCATCCAAGGTGTTGTGACTTGCTGAACTGTCTTGCACCCTGTCGGTACTTGGCTTCCCGCTCCGCCCACTGTGGTATCTCAAAAGGCACGGTAGCTTCACGCAGCCCTTTATGGAGACAAAGGAAGATTATTACAACCGTATTTATAGGGTAATTACAGAACATTCCACAAGGTCGTGCTAGAATCCCCGTGAGGGGGGCGAGAAGCGTCGAGCTAAAGATGCCGGATCCAGATTGGCTGGCATTCTGACCAATCAGGGCATGCCTTCGTTTGGTCCGTAGCCCGCACGTAACAAATCGGTCCAATTGACATGCTGTTTGGTTATTAGGGGCGGCTGGCCTCCGGACACAGGGTGATCTGCACAGCTTAATTTGCTGGTAGTTCGCTGCCAAGTCATTCCTTGACCTCTCATGGTTCGTTTCCACGCTTCGCATAGTTGTGAAAGAACGGTTGTCCAGGCGGTCGATCGACTAGCATATGGAGCACGTGACCAAGTCAGTGCGAGCGATGGAGTATGCTCAGCCAACTGTCAGGGACGAGTCACTCCTTCCGAAAACCGTTTGACGGTTTGATCCGATGTTTCTACCAGACTCAGTCCTCCGAAAACACTGATGGTCAAGCACTGGAAGTTTTTTAATGACCTTAGCAACCAACTTATTTCTCTATATCATCTCTCAATAGGCCTGTGTATGACTTCAATGAAGACCTGAAGCAGATGTAGCCCATGACCTGAGCATCCTCGCCATGTTCCCTTACCCTAACCCCTTTTCATCATCCAAGTGGGTGCTAATCTGATTGCACGCGCTGTGTTTCTTGTGGCAGTTCTGACAAACCGTGTGCGAGTGGTAACATTTCCATTGAGGGAGTATGAACTTGTTGGGATATCCACCTTCTGCCTCTTCCGGACGACTTGTTTGCGAAACTGAATGGGGGAATGTTTCACGAAGATTGATTTGGCTGATGCCTACCTCCAGGTTGCAGTTGAGGAAAAATCACGAGAACTTTTGACCACCAATGCGCACCTCACCCGATTGCTATTTGATGTCAAGACAACGCCAGTCATTTCAACAGATCGTGAATACGATGTTGAACGACTCCCTCGGCGTCGCCCGCCTATTTGGACGACCTCATCGTGATGGGTTCAAACCTCGAGGAACTGTAACAGCGCCTTCATTGCGTGCGTAGTCGTATTCAAGAGTACGGCTTGAGAGTGCGCCGAGGAAAATGCACCTTCTTCCTGCGACCGATGTATTACCTCGGTTTCATTATTGACGAACACGGCCGCCGACCAGACCCGAGATAATCAATGCCCTCAAACATAGGCAAGCACCCACAGACGTTACTTCCCTCAGGCCCTTCCTCGATCTCGTCAGTCACTACAGCTCTTTTCTGCCTGCCGTGCCAGCTACTTACCAAGGACCACAAGTGGGTATGGTCCACAGTACGAGAGTGGAGAATCAGTTCAACCGGCACCATGGCACAACCGCGTACTCCTTCAGCGAAGGCCGAAGAGTTTTGGTCCGCGACAACAGTGACAGACATCCGTAACTGGATTCCGGGATACATCCTCCGCCGGCGTAGCATCGAGGGGAGCTCCGATTGGCCGAAAGACCCAACAGCCAATCATAGTCAATTATCTGCCACATGTCGGTTGCCAATTCCGCATCCAGAAGGCGTCGAAACTTCCAGAATGTCTCCACATACCTTTACATACGACACCCTGTACAACTGTTTTGATCGGGTTTTGGCGCTGATCCGCGCTGTGCACCTTTGATGGTTGTTTTGACGGGAACACTGACTTGGAAGGTTCAGAGCTAATCGGGTTTTGCGCCGAATCCGCGTGTGCACCTTTGATGGTTGTTTTGACGGGAACACTGACTTGGAAGGTTCAGAGCTAATCCGGGAAAATATCGTCATTATAGAACTATTAAATTGTCACGGCTGGTTACAGCACGTAAGAGAATTTGCTGCGTGCCAAGCAAACGGTCACTAGCTGTTTCCCGATAACAGTAGCTAACGGAAACGGTGTAAGTTGCGCTATGATCCATCATTTCGTGCACACCGGTCTGATAAACAGTGATGGATGATGGACCTGCAGAAAAAGAGCGTCCGGTTTCGAACTTGAGAGTCCCACCATATGCAACATACTCGTAGTGGGTCCTCTGGAGTTGCAGACACGAGAAGTATGGTTAATCCAAACGAAATGGCGGATTAACGGCTCTGAGATCATTCCAAGCAAAATTATTGGACACCGAAGAAAACTCCAACGATTGTCGAACGCATTATAAATGAAGTTATGCAGTGACGCCTTCTGGACGAGGCATCTGTAACTGGGACGCTGCGGACACTGAAATGTGGTTGTCTCCACTCATGGGTTAGTCAGGAATGACCTTGATGGCGGGCCAGCCACCAGCCCGATTCTCTATTTGTTGCAGCGGTCGACTGTGTGAGGTAAGACAGGCGGTTCGGGTGTAGGATTCTGCCCAACAAATAGCTATCAGTGGAGTTAGTGGAGCTGCCGAAACGTATTGATTGTAACCCACCAGCTTCTGATCTCTGTCTGGACGTTGTCTTTGTAGGAGTGTTTCCTGTCCCCGTCAGTGGGAAGACTTCTTGCGAGTTAAAAACGAGCAGGTTGGTTTGTAATACTTTTTCAGTGCCTAACTGCCATGCCACCAGAAGGAATCACGAGAGCTGAAATACTACCAGGTTGTCCAAGAGGCAGAGGTCGGTTTCGAACCACGGTCCATGAGGCAGAGGTTGGTTTCGAACCACGGACCTTAACGGTCAGTAAATTCGTGCTCTAACCACTGAGCCATCTCGCCCCCTGGGTTAGGGTTGTCTGTCTTACCAGTCTATGTGGTAGTGAAGGTATACTCCTCGATGGAAGTGGTAGATCAGGTTTTTCCTAATGCAGTTATTGTGCTGAAATCCGTGACTGACAACAAGATTGATATTTCCGAAATTGTTCGGTAAATTTGCCAATTGCCTTCTGCTACTTCGGCTGCCCAGGTTTGATCAACACGAGCGTGACAGTTTTGATTTGTCACTCATCTGATTCGGAAACACTGGATCATCTTTTTCTGCCGCATATTCAGCTTCGTATTTGGAATGATTACATAGTGGTTGACAAAACCCAGCAAAGCGTTGGGCCTTAATTTGAAGCGGATGATGGGTTGTAACCACTCGGCATGGCTCTTTGGCTAAAGCGCGAATTTACTGACCGGTTGATTCGAACCCATCTCTACTTCCCCTGTCTAGGCTTTGGCAACCTGCACCCCCCGTGCTTCCTTCGGGTGGCATTGCAGCTAGGCACCGGAATTTTACCGGAGCTGAAAGATTTCGATTTGAACTTTAATGTCAACCGAATTGATCTTGAGCTCATTTAACGTAACTAGAACCATACATTCCTTACAGTTTTCGTGCAGTTTCTCTTTCATATTATTTCCTCAATTTTCTAACCCGGTTTTTTCCCTTGTTTTTTATCCCCAGAAGGAACAGTGCGCCATGCTCCTAAAAAATCGAAGGAGTACTACGACGACTGTACCATGACAACAAATACAGCCACTCTGTCTTCATCCAAACAGCGCCATGAACATTCAGTCCCCTATTATCATCCCTCATCTCAGGCACCCCCGGATTCGACCAGCACGCATGCTTGCATTTGTTCTACCGCCATCTGCTCCGCCGTTCCCGCGGGAATCTCTCGACATTGGCACACTCCCACCGGTCTTCGCGTTCCTGTACTGCCTGCCCCTGACCACTATCGAATGTTGCATTACTTGGCTACTGGCAAAGACCCCTCGGGTGCATTGTCTGAGCACCCGTCTCTGGAGTTAGTTCATGGATTGTCTTGGGGTCGATTGCTAGAAACCGCTGGCCGTGGCCTGGTTGACCATGTTATGCGACAGTTGCGCTCTTCGGGAATCATGTCACAGCGGTAAGTGTAAAAAGCACGACACGATCCGATGATTCCTTTAAAACATCAGACCTGTGAGCAAAAGTTTGTCCCGTCTTCGATGGGGCTTGTCTTTGCTCTAGGTATGTTCATTCCGCCTCGCCAGACAAATTCAAAATGGCACTTTTGGATCCCCAAATTTGTTCTTTAAATCTTCATAGAGGATACGGTCACATAAAAAGAATTGTCAGGACCTAGGAATCGGTTGAACCAGTTGGAATGGAAGCATACTTTCGTCTCGTTGGTTCTCTTACTGGTAACAATAATAGTTTTCCGTACTCCTGAAGTCCAGCGATGTTGATTAGAATAGATTGTGTACAACCAGACAAATTGCCCACTTCCCGATTTATCGAAGTTATCATCATGTCCTCATAACTCATTAACTGCTTCTCTATCGATCTTACTGTTTTTTTTCTATACGTTACCGCCTGACTGCCTATCCAGTGAACACGTCAAAGGCCAGAAACGAAAGGATTGTGGATTCGCCCTGAATTCGTAAAGCCTTAGCCTTGTGTGGGATACTTAATCTGGTTACACACTAATAGAATAACATGACATTAATATATCGAGGCTGATTCTCGATGTTTTAGTCACCCTGTGTTATCTTCTGCAGTAGTGGAATAAAAGGACCAAACTGGTGGCTGTTGTTACCAAAATGCCACTCGATTTGTCAATGGGACAAGCGTACGTCTGCGGTTTGAGGCTGAAGTCAACGCATCACGCGAGATGGACCAAGTGGTTAGAGAGCGAATGTACTGACCGGAAGGTCCGTAGCTCGAACCCGACCTGTCTCTCAACTTCCCCTGTCCAGGCTTGGGCAACCTGGCAGTACCCCAGCCCTTCACGTGGCATGGCATCTAGGCACCGAAAGGGTGCTACAACTGAACGATCACGCATATAGTTTGTTCGACCTTCGGTTAGCCTTGACTAGACAGTCGACACAAACACACCATCTTTTCGGTGGACGTAAGCATATCGAGTCGCAGAGATTCTACTCAAGGTCGTTCTGCATTCATCGAAAGTAATGTAAATGGGTGCATTTCGCGAATTGCGTCAAAAAGAACACAAGGTTGGCCGAAACTCGGAGGTCTACACCTACTTCATAAACCTTAAGAGGAACGAAACCTGTCCAGCTGTCAATGAGTCGTCAGCAAGTTTATGATCATTGTTCTACCAAACCGAAACTCGGGGGTCTACACCTACTTCATAAACCTTAAGAAGAACGAAACCTGTCCAGCTGTCGATGAGTCTTCAGCAAGTTTATGATCATTGTTCTACCAAGAAAGATTATTGACAACTTTCGTTTCAGAAAGGTTTGGTGCATACTCGGTGAGTTTATAGCTGAGAATGATCAAACATAACCGTAGTATTCTCTTCTAGGACTGAATCTTTATTCTAGCTTTTCACATTGGATTGTGTTTTGAGGCAAAATAAAACGAGCATGTCTGTCGGGTTCGGTAATGCGCTTTCTCTGTTACTTACTAGTCTCTTCCACGTACGGGTGGTATTACAGCCTCTGTAACAAGACAGTTTGATCAGCGAAGGAAATAAGATCGTCTAGCTGGACCAGGATTTACCGATCAGGAATCCCCTGTAACTGCATCGTAGTTTATTTCTTTTTTTCTCATTTATATTAATCAACCTTCGTTCAGTTGGGGAAATATTAGCAATTCCTCCATCCTCTCCTATAGGATTTAATAATTAGAAGTCAGTATACATTACCCCTTCATCGTTGCCCCCTTCTACCTCCATTTTAGTTCCGTACAGCGTCCACCCGCTCGAATCCTGGTCCTTCCAGACGGTCCACACTTGGGCGGTGCTCTGGCTATCACTTTAGCGCGACTACTCGCCATTCGTGGTGCATGTGTCTTGCTCATTGCTCCCCGAGTGGCAGCTACAGATCATCCAACCCAGACGGACGGTCTAGACGCGGTCTATCGAGCCGAATTGGAGTTGGCTATACAAACGGCCCCACGACCGAATCCTTATGGATTGGAGGAAGATGATCAGTTCAACAGCGAAGAGGGCACGGACGATGAAGATGAGGGGGTTGACGATGGGGCTGTGGCAGGGGCAGACGCCGATTCATCCGCACGCCATCTGCTGCCTTCGGACGGAGATTCCGAACTGGCTAGTTGCTTGGCTCTGGATCAGCTGTCGTCCCATCCAAACGACGCGTTAGACTATAGCCCATTGAATCGGATGTGGATTAGCCGCATGCCCGGACTCAAACTACTCCGGCGTTCCACGTGTGAGTGGCTGTGGTTTACCTCTAGCTCACCTCATTAGCGCTCTATGCTTGAGAGTTTCCCCCTCCTCATTCGGTAGCTCTAGACCTTGGTCTTGGATCAAGACCTGTCCTTTTCGGACAGCCCACCAAGATACAGACTAGTGAGAACAAGCGTTGCAGAATGAAATCATTTTGTACAGTCTCGTCTGCCGCAGTAAGTGCAAAACGGAATAAAATGCAATTTGGGTTCAAGTAGACCATAAGGTTGACGGAAACTCGGGGACTGCGCCTACCTGATGAGCCCCAAGAAGGACGAAACCGGTCGTGGGCTGTCGAAAGATTTTCAGCAACCTTATGAGTAGTGTCTTTTGTGAAAATGTACTGCGTTACCTCGGATATGGTGCCGACTGAAACATGAGGCGGCCTGGTGCTGCACATTCAGTGGCTTAGAAACATCATAGACGAGAGAGTCAACTAACTGGGTTCCAGGTAAGTCTCCCGCGAAACCAAATTTGTTCGCAAATGAATGTATTTAGCGGATGGATGGAGCAATTGACATCAGAAACCAATCCCACACTGAGGATGCAAGTAGTGGGACGTTCGTGTTATATGGATACAATTTTGCCGATGCTCTGCGCCTGCAGTACTTTGGTGATTCTATTCTCTCCTAGCTCCGGATCACCCCTGGTTGATTCAGATGATGTTTGTGAGTTGCTGAACTCGTTGCGACCTCGACCTGTTCTCATGCGTATCATGAGATCCGTTTTCATTCTTTTGATAGTGCAAAAGATGCAGGATGACTTATTCTCGGTCCCCACTACCGATTCTTTCTTCCTGTGTGTGTGTCTTCTCCCCTGGGAGTCAAATGTCTCTCTGGTGAGGGTTGACCGTGCTTCTGGTTACACTCATCTAAAGAGCAGATTGGCGACTTATCAACACATGCCGTTATTGGCACACGAATTTGTTTTTGACCGAATCCAGCTAAATCTCCCGTTTTATGATGGTCCGCTTAACTGAATGTGCTGGAAGCCCAGGTCACCTCGCATTCCGTATGGCACGATATTCGGGATACCGCAGTATATCTGAGGGTTGACCGTGTTTATGATTACACTCATCCAGGGAGCAGACTAGCGACTTATCAACACATACTGTTATTGGCACACTAACTTGGTTTTGACGGAATCCAGCTGATTCTCCCATTTATGATGTTAACTGAATGTGCTGGACCAGGCTACCTTGCGTTCCATTTATAAGGAAGACTACTCACAAACTCTAAATGATCACAAAAGAGGTTCAAATCACAGCACCGAACCTACACTGCAGCACGGTCGGTCCTTAGGGCACACACAATAGTTATGCCATTGGAGCTGATCAAAATTCCAACGTCAGTTTTGTTAAGTAGTCATTGTATTCGCCAAATCACCTGCAGATGCGGGGAAGCATACTTTGGTAGAACTTACCGGAGGCTAGAAACGCGAGTAAACAAATTCATACCCAGTCAGCTGATCCCAATTTCAATTGGAGAGTCTAGGATCAAGTCATCGATTACCAGGCATCTAGTCAAGACAGAACATAGAGTTGAACCTTACTTTACCCTTCAGCTCAAGGCACGAGGCACTTGTCCACACGGAGTGAATTCGCTCGATGTGATATTGATTAGTCTACTCAAAGCCGCACCATGCGCTCAGAAAGACCCTAGAGTCACTGTGAGAATACATTTGTCTTATTGATCGGTTGCGTTCCAGTTTAGTTCCATATGAAGGGTGCAACTAATTCTGTATTTCGTTTCATTTTATTCCTTTTCACACATATTGCGCCAGACGAGATTGTGTGAAATGAAATCATCTTGCAACATTGTTGTTCTCACTATCTTGTTCAAACTGATCAGAGGTTCAAAATAGTTAGCTATGCAACGCTTCTCGGCGTAAAGTGATTTGACCCATACGAGGAAATCTCAATAAAAAACTAACGAGTCTCCTCACTGGGGAGACAAGCAACTTGGAAAGTACTGGTGAAGCACAGCATCACCTGCAGAGTGTCTTTTTTCGCAGCAGTAAGTTTGTCAAAACGTCTGTGAGCCATTATTTGGGAGTTGTCTTGTAATCTAATGCCTTCAACATCCAGTTGGTATTTGTGCCGCCTTTTGACCTCTTATCTTTTCGTGCCTGTCATTCTTCTATGTCAATGATAACGAACTGGCGTTGTGGATAGCTCTGTTCAAAAGCTGTCCTTTTTCGCATCGTGTTTTCTCTCATTTTGGTCCGCTCGCTCTCTCAGGCACTACTTAGCTGGCTGTTAGCCAGTTCAGCCACCAACTAACCTGATCGTGTTGCTTTTCAGCTGTCACCAAACTTCCATCCAACGTTGTCATCGATCTGGTGGTCTTGGGACACTCGGCCATGAGTCCACATGACCCAACCTGTCCCGTGGACTCACAACTTCTCCAGTGGCTACAACGTCATCACGCGATCACCCGCGTCGCGTATCTGATGCCTCGTTGTGTCTCTGTGACCGAGCAGTACTCTCTGCGGAACGCTCCTATACACTGGGTTGTCGAGTTGGGTTTGCCCAGACTGTTGCCCAGTCCCCAGTCCGACTCACTTTTCAGCAACAGCTCAAATGCCCACCTACTGGTTGATGTGGGCCTCAGTCGTAATTTGATTCGCCGCCTGACCAGCGATCTGAAATGTCTCCCACCCTATGGTCTGTTTGACGTCGAATCTGTCATTCCACTCAAACTGGACCCGGTAGCTTCAGGTTCCACACCCTAGATTGAATACACCTCATTGGGGGCTGTGTGTTCAGCTATGTGTGGGTAGCACCGCCCAGAATGAAACGTGGCAGCCTGGTGGAACTGTATCCGACTGCGTTCTGTCCACTTTTCTCTCATTGCTCCAATGAAGTTCCACCTTTCAATATCGTGTTAAATCAGGTGTTTTTCGACTTGCGCGACTTCCTTTTTCTCCCACTTTTCACCTCTAGTCAGCAGTTTTTTTCTCCTCAATCAAAACTCAACTCCTCAACTGAAATATTGTACAATGGTTGAAAATTTGTCTCAATCATTTATCCTTTTTTTCCTTCTTGAATCGCGCTGTTTTGTAGTTACGCAGAATAAGCAACAATGTTTGTCGCAGTTTACGTCGACTCTTCGTTTATATATGCTACCATCTGACCTTTGTTATAGCTCTCCCTGGGGTAAATTGGGTTGTGAAAGGAGCCTCGGTGTAATAAACTGTAGTGATCTGCGAAGATACGGGACAGACAGGCGAGTAGAATCAAATCAATCAATCAGTTCAGCTGTAGCACCCTTTCGGGGCCTACCTGTCATGCCACCTGAAGGAAGCACGAGGGCTGGGTTACTGCCAGGTTCCCAAGCCTAGATAGCGGAGGAACCACGGACCTACCGATTAGTAAATTCGCGCTGTAACCACTGAGCCATCTCGCCTTCTCAGGTCGATAGACGACAGTCTGAGTCGTACGTTCATGGCGGATAACCAGTGAAGCATCAGTGTTGAACACTGATGTCATGCTGTCGATGATGATGATGATGATGGATAACCAGGAAGTTTTGGGTTCTGGGGCACAATAACGCGCTCACATGAACGAGATTGTCGGAAACATATTGAACCCCAGATTGCTGGTAGCCTATCCGTTCGTTACTTCACACGCGTGTGATCTGGATAGAAACTACATTTCAAAGAGTTCTGGAGAGCCTTCATGTGTTCTTTCATGGTCCTCTGTGTGATGAATCCTTTGAACTTTGAGTTGACCTCAGTGATAATTACAGACAGTCTATGTGGCTTGACTCAGTCCTATGGCCTGTAGTTTTCAAATTCTTCCCTCGTAACGATTAACTAAGTCTCTTCTACCGATTGGGAACTTTCGGTTTTTTTAGGAGAAAAAATTCACCACGACTAGCAGGGTGGCCCAATCGACGTGTTTTCGTGGTGGTTGGAGCTGACTGAACCGCAGCCCGTGGTTTTTTTGCAGGACCTGTCCGAAAGTAAGCCCTTCAGAAGCCGCCGAAAGTTGTTTTGAATCCAGCCGCTCAGAAATAACCAAATCAACACCGCCAAAAACCGTTGCTAGACAAGCCACACTGAGGACTTTCGATACCGCATGGATAACTTATTCGTGCACCGGGTTCCCAAAGCCGAATTTGTGGAAAGATAGTACGGCATCTGGCATAGGTTTGCGCTGACTTTGTTGTTTGGCAGTTTCTCCGCGGAACTGCGACTTATGGCGTAAGAACCGACTTTGAGGGGCGCCGGTCCTGGTTCGTCATGTGTGACGCATGTAACAGTTTTGGGGACCCGCGCCAAACTCGGTTCGGGTTCTAATAAACAAACTGAAGGGTGTGTGGTTCATATTATGAAATTTCTAAACGGGCGTCGGACTATATCACTTCGATCCACTGCCCTGTTTTCACCTTAAGCGTGTGCAAATGTATCGTAGTATTGATCTACTCATGAGTAGTTGGAATTTGGCTGCAGCCCACGTCATGCATGCAGAGCCCACACTTCCCTTGCTCTAATCTCCGAGCCCCCAGAAGGTAAAACAGTTCGCAGGTCACTTGGGTCTTCCCCTTGGAACTGACCACGCAAAGTGAAATGCTGCCATGGGGCACTGCGTAACATTCTGGAGCAAGCTAATTGCACTACTGACCAGTAGTCTGGTAGTGTTCAACCGTTAGTAAAATCGAAGTTGAATTTTAGCGTAAAAATAACAATGCGATAAGAAGAACATAACTTAGCCAGAAAAGCAGTAGTATCCAAAGTATATTTGTCCGTATGTTGCTATTTGAAGACAACTTCGCCTTGTTTTCTCATCCTGGAGCGAGCGGCTGAAATCTCGCTTGGTAGAAATACCCTTGTAACACTTACTTTTTCTGAGCTTGCGCTTGAAATTGAGCATAAAGTACCAGTCATCCAGCTTATTGGCTGCGAAATACCTCACTGCAAGGACGTCTGACGTGTTGGCGGCACACAGACCCAAAACAATGCAATAAAGCAAACGCACAAACTGCAAAAGCTGGCGCGGTATTTTGCCATATTGAGAAACGTGTCTGGAGCATACACAACACGATTGAAGTTTGTCACGCTGTTGCGCAGTATTCAGGACTGCGCGGCAGCGAGGCCAGGACTAATTCGGATTCCCAGCCAACTTCACTCTGCAAAAAAAATCCGGATCAATTGGAATGACAGAATCTCGAAGAACAACCGATGTTGGAGTTGAGTGAAGTCTGATGTCAAACCAGCTCTACCGCTTGAAACGAATGGTTGAAATTCGTGTGAAAAAATACACTTTTCTGGGGTCAACTAAAGCCTGGGGTTCGAAATTGGGAACCTCTGGAATTTTGCCATCGGGTACGGTGAAAAAAATCGTAACTTATGTTTTCGATCCTTGGGGAACGCTTATTCATAGGAAAACAAGAAGGCTTTTGTGGCGCGACATGCTGCAAGTCTCCCCAAAGAGGCCTCAATCACGTGAACTTGTTCAACACGCGAATGTATGCACCCAAGTAGGACCAGCTTTGTGGCTCACCAGTCCACCTGCCTCGAACCGAGGTAATTCTGTGCCATTTTTTAATGAGTACCTATCCTTCTGAGGATGACAGCACCATTGACTTTATTCTTAATAAAAATATTGTTTGGTTATCCATTATAAGCTCCACAGTCGGCAGCCCCCGGTAACAATTACACGGTGCAGTTCTCAGAATGGTGTGGTGTCGAGATGAAACTTGACGGATTTGACGGACGATGCCTGTATCTCGATGATAACCAAGTAAGAGATGCCAGTGCCCATTTTTATGCCATCACGCTTAGGTTTCTGCACCCTGACCTGCTGATCTTGTTCGCGCCAAATACCTCACTGTGATGGGGGGATTGTGGATTTAAAACTTGAATTCTAGCTATACTGGAGAGGTTATTGAGGAAGTTATTGCGTCATTCCTTAGAGGAGAAAAAATCCGAATTCACGACACCTTAGAACACTCTTGAGGCAACCCACGACGATAGTACTACCGCGTTTCTAGTGATCCGGACATGGATGGAACAGTTGTGCAATGTTCTTGTCTGACCGGATGATTTTGAAGTTGAACGCTTCTTATTCGAAAAAGTTTGGTGACGATCGGTAGATTTATTGCTGGGCAACGTTTCGGTTTTGACACAAAAGCTTCGTCAGGCCAAGTGACTAGGTTCCGAGGTTGGTCGAGATTTAAGGCGGAAGGTGAACCAATCAGCTAAGTCAAGGTAAACCTCTGTTGGGTGTCGACCAAGGGATTTTAGTGTGTTAGAGTGGTTGAACAAGTGTTGAGTCGGTGCATGACCGCTTCGATGGAGCCTACTTCCTTTAGTATCTGTCTCGTCATGGCCCACCGAGTTCCTACAATACGTAGCACAGCTTTTCTTGGCATCGGTTGATCAATACAGTGCGACACCAAAGGTGGATCTTGCTCCGTAAGCTTGGATAAGTAGACACAAATCTTCATTATATTGCACGACTTTAGTGCGACTGCGCACCCTCGATCTCGTATCCGCCTCACTGGGGTGATAAGTTCAAAGTTCTTTCCATTTTCTACGGTAAGCTAATTGGAGTTTCCCAAAACCAGTCATAGCTGCATGCTTTATAGACCATCCTTTCTTCGGGGAGGTATTTCCTCGGCGGGATGAACTTCGCACTGGAACAGTACAGAGACAGTCCTGAGTCCATCTTTTCGTACTACTCGCACAACCAAAGTAGCACAAATTATAAACTAAATCGAGCTAACCTAGCTCCATCTCTCTGGTGTTACCTCTCTCAGGAAGCGAGAAGCCCCAGTGGAACGATAATATTCTCTGAAACTGACGGTTCCGTCCACTTATTTACAATAGAAAGTGAAAACAGAGAAAGTTGGCTAACTGTTTTCTGTTAGTGTAGCTGAATATTGCTAGACAGCAATGCAGCACACTTGACCTTTGTTCCACTGAACGTGCTCTGAGTTCTCCCTATATGCTCTTGTATCCGAACGCTTTTACAGCACTAACTAGACTCCAAAATGAGCGTCCCGGATCAAACACAGGCTAGCAAACGGTTGGTGTTCTTCTGACTGACAAATCATCGCTTTGGCGTCCGATCAACCAAACGCTCGAATACTCCACATAAAATATCTTATCTTTAAGTCAAGTTGTTCGCTTGAAAAGCCGCTGTGAGTTACCCGGCACTTTACCAAGTGTAAAGAACTAGTTAGAACTAGTGTTGTAGTCTGAATAAACTGTAATTAACGAGCGTTCCAACAAGCGACAGTTTCTGCCTGTCTACCCGACAAAGGAGCGTTGGTCACAACGCTCGTCCTTGTTTTCGAAACTTCATTGGCTTTCTCTGCACCGAAAAAAAGTGCGTTTACCCCTAAGTTTGCATTTCTGATCAATATGAAGAGAGCAAGCGCGTGGATGCTGGAATTCATGGGTACGGTACAAGGCACTAATCCCACCCATGGATCTGGATAAGGTATTTTTCTCGAAATGACTCGATGGCGATTTCGATCAGTCTAGTGTGGCAGAATAGCAGTGGAAGCAGGCGAACACCATCTGTTGATTCCTCTTGTGAACCAACAATGGGGAGCGGCTACTTTTCCTCTTTATTGTCATTAGTAGCGCGACTACGCCTGTTTATTATAACTCCGCATTGCTTCCTAGCCCGGATACTACACCATGTTTCAGGCAAATCGGTTCATCCGGAGGGAAACAACAAGGCCGATATCGCCATCAGACAAGCCCCGGGATCGGACGGGCACTACTCTGATGGTTTTACCACAACAGGGTCCGTGATACAGCTCAGTAGGTGAGAGATACCCAACAGAGTACAGCGGCTCTACTCTCCCTGTGAGCAGCAGGGCGTGAGGATATATTCCATGATCAGCCGAAGGACGGCTCTCAAAAAGCTGCAGTTGCTGCTGTTGTGAATCCTACGTAGGCACCAATTTCGCCTTCCATTTTATTAACCATGTCCTCGACTAGCAACAGACGATTCATCTGACACGTCGTCCGCTTGCTGCATTCATTANGATTCATCTGACACGTCATCCGCTTGCTGCATTAGTGGTATGATTGAACTTCCATGGTCAGGCTGGATCCCGTTTTAGACGCTCTTCCTTGTGTGAGGAAAATAAACTA